CTGCTGCTGCTCCTCCTCCTCCTTTCCTCGTCCTCCTACAGCTACAGATGCAAGCACAAAATCACATATACTCATTCTAGAATTCGTCAGGCATGCACCACCCACATTCTCATAAGCACTGCTGGTGGCGCTAATGCATTCTTGCAAGACTCGGCTCGGCCTAGGACTGGGGAGGCCTGGACGGCACGCTCGACACGGCCGAGAAACGGCCAGAGCTGATCGCTTACGATTGGGGGAGGAAGCCAGGACCCAGCGTCTTCCCAAGGACTGGGATCTGAAGTGTATCATTGAGATCTCAAGGTGATAGCTAAGATTTGTAGTTTGATTCCTCTACCCTGCGCCCTTTTTGTGGCATGGAGCAAAAGTGCACATTTCTCCAGGCACGGAGCCCTTGAGGTGGAGTCCCGTACACGCTTCCAGCTCAGTGATGTACTGAAACAACCTTCAGACCAGAAGTCAACAGAATAGCAGCAAAACAGCAAAGGAATCCCTGCTTCCATAGCAGCAGCCAAACAGTCCTTAAGGACATGCAAGCGCCGAGGCGTTCTGAAGTCCCTCCAATTAGGATTGACTAGTTCGGGCAATCGAGTAGAGGTTCGCTCACCTTACCTCCAAGACGTTTTCACACCATCCAAGCATTGCTATCATAGTCGGAGCATGAGGTGGAGAAAACAACATTACATGGGAGTTTCTCAACGAACAAAACAATCTCATTATATATGTCCAGTAGTAGTATCCCTTATGAATGAAGCCATTCGAAAAAAGAAGGTCGCGCGGGTAGCCAAGGGACTGGTTTAGCTCTCCCAGGCGGAATAAACAACGACAGAACCGTGGTTGTGAACATGGGGGGAATGAAGTATATAGGGCTAATGGAAAATAATATGGACACTACTACAGTATATAGGGGTTATACAGGGATAATTTCTTGCAAGGAGTCGCTGGGACAAGCCGCACCAGGAAAAGCTTTGCGGTCACAAGGCGTTCGTGGAGTGCTTCAACACCCGCGGACAGCCTCCCTGTATCTCAATCAATGTTGGGGAACAACTAGTGAATCCGTCGTTACTTGGGTATCTCCAAAAGTTGGGGTCATCTGTGTGTACCCCAGCATACTATATGCTTTGCTATACTTGAACCCTAAATAGTAGTTTCCATTTTATGTTCCATTATCCCTATATAACCCTTATCTTCCCCCCTATCCCTTGTATTACCCCTAGTATTGTAGGGACTCCCCAAAACAACCTTTGTAGCTTTTTAAAGACCCCATATGGTATATAGTCCCCCAGTTCTCAGGGTTTACTATAGGTCTCCAAACTATGACTGAGGTATCCCAGGCTGTGGCTACGTTGCAGGACACGCACTTTCTGCAGTTGCCAGACCGAGAAATCGGCCCCCGATTTCAGACAGCTTTTCCCCTTACAGATATATTCCCATTCATTATCATTCAGTATTTCTACTCCCATGTGCTCTGGAGAATCTTCATGACAGGGGTATTCGTCTTAACAGGATGAGATAGGCGTGTACGTTCTTGAAGTGTATAATTTGAGATAGCTCTCTTAGTGGCGAGGAAGGTTTAGGGTTTTTCTGGGTTTTTGTTAAGGAACTTAATTTGAAGTTCAATCTTGGGGAAACCATATTAATTGCTCTATCTACCCATTATGGTAACTAAATTTAAGTTTCGCGCCGGTTCCACGGATGAGAACAAGGTTTGGACTAAGTTGGATAGACTTTCTAATTCTCAACAACTGCCCAACTGAGAGGGAAGAGTTCTACTGTGGTTCAAATGCCACAGCCGTTCAGATCTTGAATAATTCAGACAGGTTGTATCTATAGAACATGGTCATCGTGGTAAAAGATTGGCATTACAACCCAAATTGCTAGGGCAATCTCAACCCTATGCAGTCTAATTATGCATGGAGGCGGTGCCGTCAACATGCCCAGGAGCAAGGGAACTGTGACAGCAGAATTGCGTAGCAGTCTCAGATGTTGTAACTGCATCCGGAGATACGGGGAACTTGCGCAGCAGACATACATCAATCCATGATCACCGTAGGTGCGTGATGACGCGCCATGTAGTGACAGAGTCTCACAAGCCCCAAAAGCCCGAGAAAGTCATTGAGACCATTCCATTAGACGCTGGAGATAGGCGTTACAAAGAAAAGCTGACCTGGATCCTGCGGTGAAGTTTTCTTGCCGTTTGTCTTTGATAACTTTTTGGGTTAGGATTCTTACTCTAAACCCTTGCAAGGTAAATCATGGGAGAGCCTAGGTAGCTAAGAAGCCGGCCAGGAGTGGACGACCAACCCCAGCTGTTGGTGGCCGAGGCCTTCAAAGCCAGGGCTGCGCTGAAAGATCCTTCGCCAGAGGCTTACCTAAGCCAGTTCATGTACTGGTACTTAGTGAGCAAGGGGAGGAAATTATTAGCCGGTTTCACGTTTGGAGTTTCGGGCTTAAACCTCATTCAGGAGGTTGTTGGTCTAGGGGCAGGGCTTCATGAGGCTTAACAAGCGGTTGTTCAGGACAAACGGTCCTAGAAATTGTAGGACGGCACGCTGAACATTTTTTGAGAAACGGCCACTGCAATGCAGGAGCTTTCATCATGTATCGTTTTCTCACATTCCTGTGCAGATTTCCGACGCCCTTTGCCCCAAATTCGCAGTCTAGTGTCATGACCTCTGAATTTATCCTGTTTGTGTCTTTCTTGTTTCAAGAGTCTCAGCTGCTAGAGCTACTAGAGAGATACTGTGAAGACTACATTTGCTCTAGCAGTCGAAGCAGTGATCAGCATTGCGTCTCCGTGGGTCTTGCAGTGGTCATGACACTGCCCACTATTGGCATTCGTGTTTCTGTGGGGAGTGCTCTCCAGTATTCGGGCCTCAAGGCAGTCTGCCACCCGCTGAGCCTGCGACTGCTGATCGCTCGAAGGTTCTAACCTTAAAGCCTTACTGTAAGGTTTGCCGGCAACCCCCCTCACAAGTGCATCTGCGCAGGGAGCAAAACAACTGATCAAGGAGCTCCGAGATTTCAGTCTGGCCCAAGGTACATCCTCAACGTTGGCGATAATTTTTATTGGGGAGGTATTGAGAAGACCTGCGGTACTCCGATGATGCCTGGCCTGTGCTTAGTACACGGTTCATTTTGTAAGATCCGGGCCAAGTTTTCCTTTGTTCGCCGTACAATCCCTACAAACATGCTCACCCCCCCATGGTATAAAGGGGAATTTTCTAGGCTCTCCCACCCCTCCTGTGGCCTGTGGTGGTCTGGGTCTTGTGGGTTAAACTAAGGTTTAGGCAGAGTTTGCAGCGCTTGTAGAAGATTCAGAACCTACCCCTGTGGTCTGTCGTGGCCTGAGTGTGGGTCTTATTGTTTACTTGAGGTGCCTGTGGTCCAGGTCTTGTTGTTTACAACAGCTTTATGGAAGGTATACAGAGGATTAATAGTGTTCATAGAAGGTTTCTGAGCAGTGCCCAGAAGGTTCTAAGCTTTGTTTTTCGTTTTTTGTTTCGGAGGGTTCATTGTTCTACAGAAGGTTTATATAAGATGATGACCACCCCAATCCCTGTGATTCAAATTGTGAGTACTGTTAACACTTAAAACACGACAGCAGTATGGGGTCCTAAAAGTTAAGACAGTGGCGAGGATCATGGCGAAGACCACCCTGATCCCAGTTGAACTGCGACAAAAGTATGAGGGGCCTAAAAGTGATGACTGTTATGGATTGCAATGAGGACCACCCCTATCCCTGTGACTGTTGTGTGACGACAGTTACGAAGTTGTGAGGATTGAGGCTCTGAGGCGCCGAAACCCGTCGACAGTTACGAGGATGGCCGAGAAGCCCCATACCTGTGACTGGTGGCACTGTTGGCGCTTTTGAAGCATACCATGGGGGGATACCATTGGGGGGAGGGGGACTGGGAACGTGCAGCGAAGGAGCATATATACACACGTGTGTGTATCTTCTTCTTATACACATATGTATATATATGTGGGTCTGGGGTCCCCAAGGGCACCACTACAGTGTACTACAGAGAAAACCCTATATTGCAAGCTTCATGTATTGAATGACTTGCAGTGGGTGCAGTGGCTCTAAACTGGAAGGGACTTTTGATCCATAGCCTCGAAATTTAGTCCCATGAACTGCTGCGCGCCCAGGAATCAGATCTCCTACCCTGCAAAGCACCAATTTGATCAGATCTTTGAGGGAATCTACCAGGGGCCTGGTCTCAGCCGCTCAGCCAGGTGTAAGGGGCGTGGGATGCTTTGGGAGTTGAGGGCTGGGGCTTGGAGGACCTGCGGGCTTGGAGTGGTAGAATTCACCAAAACCTTTAGGGGTTCTATATTGAGACAGTGGACAAGAGAACGGAAACTACTCTATTATAATAGGATATATATAGGGGTTATTGTAGGATGGACACTAAAACATAGTTCTGGTCATCGCAGGAGGTCAAAAGTTGGGATTATGGTGCTCGTGGGCGGTGTTGAGAGTCTCCTCTTCTCAACTTGTGCACTTGGAGCCAGAACTCTTCCCAGCAACGCACATGCTTTTATCCGAGCTTTCACACCACCTGACCACGGAGGAATGCTGGTGAGAATGACTCAGGCAGGAGCAATAGGAGTGTAGCGACCATCGCTTCGATTTTTCCCAACACCCTCAAAAATCTTGCCGGCAACAGTCCGAAAGCAGGTGCTGGAGAGTGTATGTGCGCCTGGTTCATGCACGAACTACGACAGTCACAGCCCACTGCTTCTCAGCAGAGCTAGCACATGGTCGCCTGGTCGTCCTCTTTCGCTTGCATTCATGGTAGTTGTTTTCTTTGAGAGGCTTCGGCATCTCATCCCCAGCTGCAGTTTGGTAGTGCAGAACCTGCAGAACCTATGGGCGGCTGTGTCGCTCCCAGGCGGGAAGCCATGGTTCAGCATCCTCGGAAATCATGACTGGGGCGGCTTCAAGTTCGACAATGGTCCGCGCCTTTGTTTTCGCGCTGTTTGTAACTCACGCGAGGGGTGGCAACAAATGGCATCATGGGTGCACATTTGAGAGTGGAGTTCCACTGCAAGTCAGCCGTATAGATGACTAGCAATCAGCAGGGCACACAGCCTTTGGGTTCAAAGGCTAGAGGCAGCTACAAATGTTAGTCATGCGCTCACAGGTTTCCCGCAATGCCTTTGCAACGTTCATCCCTTGCCTGCGTTAACGTTGGCATAGGTGTTCTTAACTCACATGTTCTTCTCGGATGACGATCATTGTGCAGCCAATCCAGGCTACAAAAAGAGAAGGAAGGGCCCTGGTGCTTACACGCACCCATTTAGCTTCAGTGCAGGATGGTTTCATTGAGGTTCTAAATTTTGAGCAATCAGGCTGGGACCAGCAGATGTCGTACACCTGGTTCAGCGACCGTTGGATTCTGCCGGCCCCCTACTACAAGACCAGCGTTGTCTACAAGGAAGGGAACTGAGCAGAGTCCCTGAAAGAGATTGTTTGTTGCTATTGTCATCATATTAGGTCCTTGTAGAAGCAACGGTGCTTGGTAGCCCGCATATGCGCTGCCTGCAAGAGTACAGTAATGGTAAAATCCTAAACCCGAAATGGTGTGGGTGCTCTCAGTCCAGCCTCAGCATCTAAGCCATATGGATCAAAGGTAGAAGCACGTTGAATTCCATTTGTTTTACATTTTTTTTACAATCAGTCTTTTGGTATCTCCAGCGATATGAGAGGGACCCTTAATTTTGGTAATCCCCATCTGTGATCAAATATTTGTTACGTCTCACATACATTTTGCCAAACAGGATTTCTATGCATCTAGGCTCAGGCTTTGGCCCGGCAAACCGCAAAGAAACCAGGCTAAACCCTCGACCCCTTAGCTTCTAAACCCTAAAGTCTATGTAAACCCTAATCCCTACAGTCCGCTATCAGGATTTGGGCTTCGATGTTGACTATTATTTCCTGGACAGCAACTTCCTGGACGCCATGCCTCCTGATGAGGACCACACCAGGGGTGGCCTCTAACACATTGATCCCTCTTTCTTGACCTTGATATGATTCCAATAGACATGAAAATCTTGATCTTGGAGAGCACTAGTATCCTGGATTTCTCATCCGGCTCACGCTTTTCCATCAGGTGCAGTTTCGCCCTTTGCATAAAGGGCGTAAACAGCTCATAGAGCACATTCAAGTCGTTGTGGGCCTTGCTAGGTGACTGCTGCGCTTGCTGTCGTTACTTCTACCAGTATGCTCCCGGAGATCATGTTGCAAGAAGCACGGATCGCAACATCACTATTCAAAAATGTTCATTCCCACTTTGTAGGCTTAAGCCTCCTGGGCAAGCAGGATGAATATTTGGGTACGGTTTGCCTGTTCTAAACTGGATGTCAGGGAGACTGTGCATGATGCCCATAAGAACATACCGATGAGAGCTGCGAAGCTGGCACAGTACCGTCAACAGTCAGAGTGACAAATGCAAGTAATAGTGGTGCGAAGAGTAGTAGCAGTCATAGTGGTATTCACTTTCTTCGGAATAGCGGTAGACATGCAGAAGTAGCAGCCGGCATCAGGACCCGAACCACAACATCTGCAGTGCCTTAGCAGCACACAGGAATATACAGGTGCTGGTTCTTGCCAGGGTCGCTCAATTAAGTGGGGCAAGTTTCAGAAAGATTCCTGCATCTATTCCTGGAGCATTTTTGATATGGAAATCTGTGTTACTCAATAAGGCAATGACAGACCCCCAAAAAGCAGCCGACGTGTATAACGGTCTGTTTCAGGCAAGAAGAGCTTGCACGTTCAAGCGCGAAACATGTTTGATACTTTTCTTGGGGTTGCGGCTTGTTGCGGGTATTTGCAGCTAGGTAGCGGATTGTTACGGCCGGATTGCGGGCAAAGGTGGCCCAGCAAATCTGAAAGCTATGAGTGCGGAAAGCAGCCATATTGTCTGAAAAAAACGGCCGGTTCCAACAAAATGTTGGCGAGCCCCAAGATTCGCAATTAACGATAAAACGTGTCAAAACCTCATTGGACGCAAATTGGTGTTGCAAGAGAAGTCCTCAGTAGGTTGTTGTTGAACGTTGTCGTTTGCAGTGGAATGTCGGGAGTTTCTGTAAGGTTTTAAGAGCAAGTGGTCATATGTCCTATGTTTCAGGTCCATGTGTTGGGGAAAGTGTCGTTAGGAGACTACCAAAGAACGCAGTATCCATGATATCACTTTGAAAAAGGACTATCAGGAGGATTGCTTCCAAGCAGCAAAGTGTTGGGCATCTGTAGCTTTGTCTCCAGGTGGCTATCCCCTGCTGAATTATGGGGTCAAAGTTGAAGGATTATGTTCTAGGATTGGTTTGCAAACAGTACCTTGGTAAGGAATCAGAAGCCCTAAACCCTAAACTCCACATTCTTAACCAAAGCCTGAGCAAACTTCAGGCTCCAAGAACAACCGAGCTGGGGCCAGCTGCGCGTCGACTGGTGGCCCCGCGTCCGTGGAAAGCTGCCCACAGTGGCCTCTGGGCCTGTAGTAGTTTTGGTGTTTAGGAGCTTGATTTGAGGGTTTAGGAGTCTAAGCTAAGGTTTTAGGTTTCGGGAGTTTCGAAGGTACGAGGGGTCTCTGGCTTCGCGCTCTTTCGTTTCTAGATGGGGGAACCGCGGCTTTTTGGAAGCAATCGTGCAGAGGTCGACAGGAGTCTTATCTAAGTGGGCAAAATATGAGCCATGTAAGGAATCCAGGAAGCATGCCACTTACTTCAGGTATGCTTATGCTGCCTAAGTCGACACAGGGACTTGCATAGGACCCCCAAGTCTACGTTACGGGGCGCAGAGATGGAGTCTGGGGGAGCGTGTGAGTTTTGAAGTCTTGCTGCACCCCCGCTAGGTTTCGTGTGTAGATGTGAAAGATAAACTTGATGTCCTAGCAGCCCTAGCAGAAGCTTTGGATGCGGAGTCTTGGCTCAGATGGATTCTCCTTGGGATCCTTAAAATTTTGTAGAAACCCTGTATCTTTCAGTAATGGGGGGGAACAGGGGGCCCAGTTCAGTATATTGGGGGGTCCTGCCAGGCATTCTTTCAAGGACGACTGTGTCAAGATTATGGGCCTGGGGAATTGCTTGTAGGACGTAGCATGGCGCCACACTGGATTTTCTATGTACACTACATCTCTAAGCTCTTGGTTTAGATCCCCTGGGCCTTAAGCCGACAGCCTGGGCCCTGTACACCTTGCTATAGACTCTGGATTATACATGCTTGTTGAGGTTCGCAGAGCTCTGGGCGGAACAGAAAGACTCCCGGCTCTGCAATCCGTTCTTGCTAGAGCTTCTACCCACGATAGGGGTGAGATAAGGAGTACAGAGCTTTGCAGCAGGGATTGTCCAGAAAAATTGCAGGGCTGAGGGTTCACATAGGTATCCTGCCTGTTTAACGGGTAGCTGCTTCCAAATCGGGCAGGCAAGCCACAAGTAGCAGAAACATGTTACTGTATCATCCAATGATACTTGAGGGATGATAAAAAAACCCGTANNAACGATAACGGCGAAACCTTGTAAAACGATAAAAGTAAAAACCAACGATAGCAGGATTAAGGGTCATTTAGATGGGTGGGGGGTTTTCATCACCCCTCACTTGATGACAGGAGGGAACCAGTCGAGGGCTTGCTGGCTGTTGCCAGCGCACATGCCAGCCCTCGCTCACTTCCTAAACGTCTGATGCCCATACCTCTGCGCTAGACGTGGTAGCACCAATGTGCGCTTGCCGATGTCCTGGTTTGTGCTCAGGTGTGGATGCAAAGTATCCTTCCGCAGTCCAGGGCCACGTGGCAGATCGTGGTGACACACTTTCCTTGCGGCCATGAACAGGTCTGGAGAATCCCTAGCCTTTTCAATGGTCATTCAAAAGTCCTGAAAAGGTAGTATACCACAGCCTCCAGCCTCTTTTGGCTTGTTTGCTCCTTTTTAGTGTCATTCTCACTGTGAGTTCTCCGCAGCCTGCAATCACTTGGAGACCCTTGTACTCATCGCACGGTCGAACCGCTAGAAACCCCAGAACTCCCCTGTGAAAGCATCTGCAGCAGGACTTTTACAGCCAGCTCCGTGCTCAAGGGTTGGACCTCCTCCTCACCGGCCACCGCCATGATCAGGAGCTGTGGTGCCGGGGACTGCAATTTAAAGGTTAGGGGTTTAGGGTTTAGCGTCTAGGGCCTAGGGGTACCGCACCACAGAAAAGGGAGCTTCGGGTGGTAGGACGTACGAACCGCTATACCAACTGCTAATATTTCAGAAATTTCACCACAGAATCAGAGTCCATGGGGACTCTGGTGATGACGATGAGTAGTCTTCCAGGAGCGTCTGCTCTGATCGTAGCATGTCCAAAGAAAGGCTGTGACTTCATTTTTGGAGTTGGCATCGAGTAAGACAGCATTGGCGCAAATGGTCATCTAAGCTCCACGCTTGGCTTGCCAAGGACGCCTGAGCAGACCTTCAAGAACCACATGGGCATGACGTGCGTCGTCTCAGGAGGTGGTGGCGGGATTACATCGGAAGCTACGCCAGACCCGGACAACACTGAGGAATGGTACGGAGAGGCCCAGCATCTCGGTCTACTAGGGCAAGGTGTTTTGTGTATTTTGCAACTCGTTAGGTTTGCTTTGGATATTTGAGGGGGATGTGGCCTACTCAGGTATGGTTTCTACGACCTCACCATCAGCAAGACGGAGATCCTCATTGAGTCCATCAATTATGATGGCGAGCTCCTCCTCAGCCACACTGTGTACCCGAAGAACTGAGGTTAGTTAGCTAGTTTTCCAAGTGCATTGCATGCTTATTTTGAGCACCCCACATCCCACATAAGAAGGGATGGGTCGCGAATTCAGTATAGCAGATGTTGTCAGCATCAGAATCACATTTTGTGAGTCACCTGTGGCGGCAGCAACGCTTGCCAGCAATAACAAGTGGCCGCACTTGCACGAAATTTTGCACGAGACCCTATACACAGCTGGTATCCCCCTATCGGGAGGCTGAGTTGGTGTTTCGTTCGCACAAGATTATTTACCTGGCTGCCAGTGACCAGGAAACGAAACATATTTTACCATGTCGGTGCTGCTGCTAGCGTGGGGTTCATTATCTTGAAGGGCCGAAGATGACTCCAACAGGCTCCCTCCCAACCAAGGATATATTCCTGAGCCATTTAGGATTTATTGATGTCGTAAATCTCATAAATACAAAAATAGCCTAGGTCAAAAAATCAAAACATATGCCTCAATATTACGGCGCGGCCACTTGCGGGCATTTCGCTCGCGCGCGGCCTAGGTTTTCCGGCTCACCTTTAAAATGCCTCCTGCGGGCTCCCTAGGGGCTCTAAATTCTCGAGAATTTTAGAATCCTTCGGAAAAGCTAGAGGCTCTAAAATCTTCGAGATTTTTAGTGCGGGCGGCGCGACCCAAAAATCTCGCAGATTTTTGGTCGCGCGGCTCTTGCCTCCGGAGCAGTTTTCCGCGTAATTCATCTCTCTTTGGCTGTCTGCGCGGCTGCTCGGCGGAGAGCATAGATCCGGGACGGAGCAAAATCGTTTAGAATTTATGGGTTGGCCGTATCTGTCCACGGGGATATATGCGCTCCCCCGAGCCGCCGCGCAGATAGCCCAGGGAAGATAAATGAGGTGGAAAGACCGGGCTGGATGCGGGGGTCGAAATTTCCCGAGATTTCGATCAATTTCTCTCTCTTCGGCTATCTGCGCGGCGGCTTGGTGTAGACCCTGGGCGGAGATCTAAAATCTTTCAGAATCTATTAGGTTGGCCGTTTTTGGTCACGTGCGGTCTTATGTATTGATTGTTCGTCGAGATTCACGTGCGAGCTTACATGTTCCGCGTGATTTATCTCTTTTTGGTTGGTGATGCGGCTGATCGGAGGAGCGTGTAGATTCGGGACGGAGAACCAAGATCTTTTAGAATTTCTAGGTTGGCTAAATTTATTCACGGAGATTTATGCGTTCCCCCGAGCCACCGCGCAGATAATGTAAGAGAGACAAATGATGTGGAAAACCCGGATTGGATACGGGAATCGTGCGATCGGGCTATACGTTCGAGATTATATATTAATTGATTATCGGATTTTCTATTTTGGATTTCCTCAAATGACGATATTCCGTCATTTAGATTCTTTTTCGTATTGATTCGGATAAAGAGATTATTCGTAAGATCTAAAACTATAAGGATATTGATTATTTGATTATATAAAGAAGAGGTTGGTTTTTAGGATTTTATATAGGAAAGATTTGAATTAAATGCTATATTTTTGATATCGACAAAATATATAAAATGATTGATTATTCAAAATATTATTCGATGCTTGTCGTTATATATCGTAGACATTAATCGATACGGAAAAAAAATCATAATTTCTTCGAAAATAATATCTATAATATATATTTATAGATTTCTTTTCGGATATGGACATATTATAATTACGAAACGAAATTTTATTGAATTGCAATTATTAGATATAAATCTCAATCGATATTATATCGTAAATATAATAATTAAACTCAGAAGAAGATTTTTAAAGATACGTTATAGGATAGATCATAATTCGCGATGAATTCTTATTAGATTTATCCTACGACGAATACGATAGGAAAGATTAATAAATTATATTGATAAATAGGTAAATCGAGAAATAAAGATTGATACATAGAGAGGTCGTTATATGGATATTATCGATTCATTGATTGAAAGATGATAGATTAAAAATTGAAAGGTCGATGAATATTTGGAGAGAAAAAATTCAGAAATTATTAAATCGATAGAATCTAATAGATTCTAAAGAAGATGGAGCATTAAATATATCGATTGATATTCATTATAGTTGTATATAGAGGGGTAATATATAAAATTGATAAATCTAAAAATGAATCGAAATACGGAGATGGCAAGAAAATATGATTTTTTGAAATTGATCGGTATTCTTATTATATGATCGAATGCTATATTAAATTGGAAAGAAAATTGAGAATTATTCGACAAATAATTTTCAGAATTTCTTTCGTTGCCTCTTCTTCATATATCGAAAATTAGAAGATTTGGATTTATTGATTTTTCTAAAATAGAATGAGATTGAGGTCTATTGATTTTTGAAAATATATTGATTTTATAGAATTTATATAGAAATAATAAGATAGAAAAAAATTCTTTGCTATCATAAATCGAAATTAAATAATATATATCTATAGCAATATATAAATTTCTTTAGATTCTTATCTATTCAATATAATTTATATATGAATGACGAAAATAATTTCTTTAATATAGAAAATAAAAGATAAATATATTCAATTTCAATTCTATACCAAATCAGATGATTTATATATTCATCTAGATAGGTTTCTTCTATATGATTATAATCTTCAAGATTGCGTATGAAAATTATAATTCATTGATATCAAGATTCTTGCTAATTTTGTCCTAATATTGGAGGAGGTCTCGGATAATTAATTTCGTATTTTGATACGTCGATAATTTCTATATATTTCGGATATAATATGATAATATAGAAATCTATAATGGGAAATATCTGATAAATATTATTTAGATTTTTGTCGTTCTCTATTCCGGATCTACGCGTTCCGCGAAGTAATCGGGCAGATAGCCAAAATTCCGCGCGACCAAAAAAATCTCGAAGATTTTTGGCCGCACCGCCCGCACCAAAAATCTCGGAGATTTTTGAAATTCTAATTTTTCCGAAGGATCCTAAGAGATTTTAGATCCCCTAGAGAAATCGCAAGAAATATTTTGTAGATGAGCCGGAAAAGCTACGCCACGCGCGAACGAAATAGCCATAGATAGTTGGGGCGTAATATTGAAATATAAAAACTCTTGAATATATTCATTAAAAAATCAAATTAAATCTTTAGATTCAATGATTTTCCTATAAATCATTAGATGCCATCAGCCCGAAAAGGAAAAAAATAACAACACTGCTTCTATCGAGCAATCGCACCGAGATAAAAAAAAAATTGCGCGACCAAAAATCTTCGAAATTAATAATCGTATCATCCGCATCAAAAATCTCGGAAAAAAATAAAGCTCTAGAAAATCATCTCCATTCTATTAGTATTCTTCGAAACCACGCAAAAATATTTCGGAAGAATTAAATTACGTGCGAACGAAATAATCGTAAATGCCCGTATTATATTACTAATGTAACGAGAAATTCGATGAGCAATAAATATATATATGTCTGCGAATAATCAATATATATAAGAAAATCGCGTGAATCAAATAAAAAATCATCTTATAAATATCAAAAAATTTTTTAATCCAGCTCTACGTATTCTATCGAAGCCTCAAATAATCTTTGCTTATCTATATCTAGCGCAATCTTTCTGCCTCATCTATCTCTCTCAACTTATCTACGCGGCTTAGCTCGATAGAACGTATAAATCCGCGCAAGTAAATTCGACCAAATTATCCGGCAATTTCAGGTCAAAGAGAGATAATTCATATTAAAAAATATCTCCGACATAAAGCTTGTGCGACCAAAAATCTCGCGCCGCCCGCCCCAAAAATCTCGCAAATTTTAGAGTCTCTAATTTTTCCGAGGGCTCTAAAATCATCAAATTTTTAAATTTCTTTCGAATCCGCAGGAGATTTTAGAGGCGAGCTAGACTAAATGGCCAAAAGGCCGCGCCGCATTATTGAAGAATATATAGCTTATCCGCCAAGCTCTGAAGTCGTAGAATTTGCGAGAGCCGGAAATTCTAGGTCCGCAACCGTTATGCCCGTAAATGGCGGCACCTTTTTATTGAGATATGTATTTTTATTAATCAATCAAAGTTTCCGTTTTTTTGCATAACGGCATATCATTCAGAACTCAAGAATATTTTAAACAAACATATTTCCGCGCGTGTAGCTGTTTGGTATGTCGCCGGTGAGACTCAGCCAGGTTCAAGACTAGCTAGCAGCAAATTGACCCTGATGAGCTGTACAAGCAAGCCAGATGCTGCGTCATGCATTTCGAGAGCTACTAAACTGTCCCCATGCAATGAAGGCACTTTTCACATGCAACGAAACAAAAAATAGCAGTAGCAACCCTGATACGTATGGATACTTTCAGATTCTCTGCAGATGAATTCGTGCAACGAGATGCAGTGCAAGCATTTTGCCTCTATCTTGACTTCCATGAGATGGGCCTGGGTGTTACTACTCTTTGTGAATTTACGACTGAACGCGACGTCCAACATTTCTGAGCCGGCCACCTTCCGTTCCCAACCAAGGCACTCTTCAGAGCCTGGCCAAGGCAACCGTCTTGCCAGAAACAAACGACCTGAGCATGTACCCTTTACTTACGAGCGCTCTAGCCCAATGTTGGATCCGTGGGCACCGATCTCATGCACCTCATGCTACGAATAGCAGCTTGTGCTAGGAAAAAGTGTGATGTCGTCCATCATGTCCTGCAGCCCTCCCTCAGCATGCTCTGACATAGCCTGCACATCACATTGGGATTTGCCAGCTTCAGTTTGCGCTTCAGTTGACAGGACACTCGAACGATCTGCCAAAGCCCATCTTGTTGCCACTGGTACTATTCAATTTTGGCAGAAGCTGGCCAGAGATGTTGGTATCCCAGGCCCCGGACAACGTATTGCTGCACATGTGGAAAGCATGTAATTTCAAAGTCTTGACAGTAAAAAGCTGTCATGTCATTATGCAAACACACGGATGTAAAAATGCTTCGCGCCTTTGGATTCGCCCATTCTGAGTCCAGGTAGGAGTCATCTTCATCCTCCTGGAAACTGGGGCAGCCTCTTTTGGGGTCCTTATAATAAGGACTATCCTATGTTGGGGTCTATTCAGGGAAACTACCAAATTACCAGAAACATGGAGAAATTGGTCTGAAGGTTGGTCCTGCAACTTCTTGTTCTCCTCTTGCTTTTTGTAATAGTGGGCCATCATTGCCTGGATCCAAGCAATCCAGATACATTCTTTCTCACGCCATGAGTACCATTACTATTATTACATTTTTTTACTAGTATTACTGCGATTACTATTAGTAGGCACGCGGCGGGGAAAAAA